ACAGACAGCCTCTTCCCAATATGCGTTTTTGCAATTTACATAAATGCAAAAACGCATAAAAAGCGGGAATGGTGAGGGGGAGGAGGGGGGAAGGGGGAGGAGAGATCTTATGAAGGTGTTTTCCGTAATTTGAAATCTTCAAATTCAGTCACCATGCATACCTCGCCAACCGTACGGACACTACAATGATATTTTTGGTAAGAAGCGATTTCGACAGTCAGTTAGACTAGGCAGCTGAAGTTTTGCGAGAATGTTTTCTGTCTATTTGCGACTTATGCATTTTAAATTTAGCTTTGAGACTTGGTCGGATTTTGCGTGTGTACAAGTGGAAGTTCAAGTTAAAACACTACTGGCACCCTTTTAAATCGTTGAGAACTTTGTCCTTCTACAACTCCAAAAAGAGTTTAAAATGGATGTGAATGAAGATGAGTAGTAAAGGGAAGGTGTAAATCTGAATATCAGATAGCCTCTGTCACTATAACTTGCATTAAAAGGAACAATGATTTCTTGATATGGAGCACTAAACAGCTAGAAAAACTTCTAGCTGCTGACAGGAGACACGAGAGAACGAAAAGCAGAATATGTTTGGCTTACTCTCGCTAGCTTCTCTACGATGCATCATTCTCTCTAGATAATTGAGTATTTTTTGCTTATTATTTTTTTGTATAGTCGTTTGTAGCCAGTTTGTTTAATTTGCTGAAAACATTTTTATTTTAGCCTTTTTTCTTTAAACGTAGATGTGTAAAGCTTTCCTGAAATCGGGCTTTTCCGAAATCGGTTATCACTTGGCAGCGTGAACTTCTGGAAAAGGTAGGCATAAAGATGAAAAGCGAAAAAAAAGCTTATCTAAAATCGAGCTGCATCATCAGAAGCGCAAGACGGCTGTTTCCCGTGATTTCTTTCAAAGCACACCAGCAAAAGTTGAGCAGCAACAATCTCGGCAATGCCAGCAAGGTATCTCCTAGCAAGCTGAGAAAACACTGTACCACAAATTTATCATTGTGGTAAAGCCGATGCAGACTGCTTTAAAGTGCATCAGTGTGTGACAATGCAGTAAGATCATACTGAATATATACACTTTAAAAGGACAACTTGAAAAACGAATTGGTGGAAAATAGCAGGCCAAAAGAACTGGAGGCAAGCACACGCTAACAGGAAAGTTTGGCTCAGCATTTGACTGCTCATTATTTTTATCTTCGACGACCCTGTTGAATGAACCCAAAACAATCGCTTATTGCATAAAAAACAGAGCAAATCTTCATTTATCACCACTTCAGAAAAATACACTGTAAGTAAACATATTTTCTCTCACAGCCCTCAGTAATTTTGTATTTTTTTTTTGATGCAACATTCACTAGCTGCTGCTGATGTCGTCATGTGCTCCATCTTAGTACAAGCCAGATTTATGTAGATTGGTTTGTATCACCATGCTGATCACGCTGTCTAGGATCATCTGCACTTGATTTGTATCAGTGGCACATGTCTGGTGCACATAGATTGTCTTTTGTGGATTGGCATTCAGTGCTTCAAAACGTTTACGTATATGCGCCACCGAATCTTCGTAAGTTTGAGGCCCTGGAAAAGCCAACTTGTATATGTGCTTTATAAAAATCGCAATTTTCGCACCAGAAAATTATTATTTCTGTGATGCAGAAAAAACCTTTCTGCTATCAAATTCAACAAAGTGAGTGGTAATGCAGAAATAAAAATTCAAGTGCTCTGCATAAATTTGGATCACGTGACTGTGTTCAGCTTCTTTGCTATGACGAAAAAGAGTACACAGTCGGAATGCAGCTGCATGAAATAGAAGAATAGAAGGATTTCGTTGGAATGTCATGTGTATGAAGAGATTTTATGATGCAGTCTGTGTTTCATCCCTTAGCTGTATACACAGACCGAACTATGCATGCGGGTAGGAGAGAGAACCATCAGTACAGCCTCCTATCCACCATGTTTTGTATAGTTGTGTAATTAATTTGGAAGACGGATAAGCGAAAGAAAGAAATACTCAGGCTGGAACGCACCAGGCTCTCCGGTGCGATCATGCGTTTTTACACTAAACTCACAGATCGCTATTAGCAAGAATGATCCCTATGCTACAGCCTAAAACTTGGGCTCATATTGGCCGTGCTTTGGCCCCTTTCGGCATACAGGAGGAAGGGCGTCTGTTGGAATGAAGGTGGTGCATTATAGAGCAGCACGGACATCCAGGTGCATGATTACCGATTTTTTGCATGAA